CCCAATCACACACACACACACACACACACACACACACACACACACACACACACACAGGGTTGTAGAATAGAATGTTCTCTATATTTTTTTATTTTATTTTTATTAAAAAAAATATCAAAACAAAAAAAAACATATATGGGCGTGTAGGGTTTTTCAAACACCACATGCCCATTTTTTTTTTTCATCCATTAAAAAAAATAAGAAAAATAAGAAACCAACCCTGACGCCCATTTTTTTTGTTCAACGGGGATTCAACGGGGATTCAACGAGGATTCAATGGAGATTCAACGGGATTCAACGGGATTCAATGGGATGATGATTTTTTTTCGCTCCACGTGCGTCCAACGACGTGCCCGAGGCCCAATGCGCCCTTCCCATTAAACAGTAGTCAACGGGGAGGGTCTGTTGTACTATTCAACGGGGATTCAACGGGCCCCCGGGGGCTATTCAATGAGTACAACGACGTTGAAACTTTTCTGTTGCACATTGAATAGACACACAACTGCTGAGGTACCCGATTGTGACTTTTCTGAGTTTGACAAACTTGACCTTTTCTTAACCGGGGCATCCGACCCTGAGATCCGAATTTGGGGTCTGAATCGTGGAAGGCCTTTCACTCTCGCCAGCCTAATTTCGAGGTCCTCTGAGAAAATTTCCAATTCTTACCTATCTACTATGTTAAATCCACTCTTAGCTCTTTCATAGTACGACACAATATGCGGTGGTGTTTCTATTAGGTCATCTCTTGTGAACCAGCGATCTTCTGTAGGTTCTTGATAGGCAAATATGATCTTATATTGTCGTTGTGGTCTACCCCTGCATCCAGAGCTGTAAACATCTTCCCCAACAATTTTATCCACATCATACTTACCATCCATATAAGGGGGAATCATCGATCTGCGTGATGGAAACATGTCATTACTAACCCAAGGCCAAACTTCGAGGCGTGGAACACCGGATACGTGTGCAAATGTGGAGGAATTTCAACAACATAGGAAGGATCATCAACATCACCAATCACATCAAGAATTTGCCATGTTCCTCGATAAACAGGTAACAACTTTTGAAAAATGTTCTCCTCTGGGAGAAACCCTCTTGAATTCACCCAGTCTAGATCACCTACAACAAATTGCGAAGGTCTACGATGCTTATTAGCATGTTCTATCATCTGATTTTGTGCCTTACTAATGTTCTCCTTAACTTTTTCCAGGTTTTTCGGATACTGGACAACGAATTCCCTGGTACCTGGCGGAAGTCTTTGTACTTGATCAGGGGTGAGACAGTCAATGAGTCTACGAGGGCGCCACCCTCGATGCAATTCAGTTGATGTAGCTAGATGAACACAGTTGTTATAGGCACTTGCAACTTTTGGCAGATGTTCATCCCAGTCAATCTGATTTGGTCGAATGTACATGTGCAGCACTTGCTGCAGCAACTTATTCATCTGCTCAGTTTGTCCATTTATCTCAGGGTGTCTACTTGAAGACATAGTCAGTTTGGACTTGTGTACCTTCATTAGTTGTTGTCATTGCTCTCCTGTGAACCACGAATCCCTATCACTTACAATGGTCAAGGGATGCCCAAAATCCCTCACCCAATGATTAAAGAAT